TTCACCACACGCGAAGCACCTGGCTAAGCACTACAAAATCCCGAGATGGCTTAGAAAATGCTACTATTGTGGTTACAGGGGAGGTGGATTTACAAAATATTGCAGTTCAGTATATCAAGACTTGTAGCAGCGAGCCCTGAGTTCAAAGCCACTGTAGCGACAGAGAATCTCAACCTACCGTGGGTAGTCTGCAAAACAGGAGACACAATCCAACATTTTATTTTGCCTTCGCAAAGATTTGGCATTATTTCTGCCAGTGTCCCAATGATTCATTTTTTAAAGTGTTGTTATATCACATGGTCAATAGTCAATAGTTCGGCAACTTTATGATGGGTGATGGGTGAACTTCAACTCCCAGAATCCCCCAGCCAGCATTTGTGGACTTCAACTCCCAGAATTCTGTATTCAGCATCTGTGGACTTCAACTGCCAGAATCCCCCAGCCAGCATCTGTGGACTTCAACTCCCAGAATCCCCCAGCCAGCATCTGTGGACTTCAACTCCCAGAATTCCCCAGCCAGCAGTTGCGAACTTCAATTCCCAGAATTCTCCATTCAGCCTCCACTCCCAGAAGTCCACCCATCTTAAAAGTTGCCGAAGTTGAGCAGCATTTTGAGGAAGTTTAGATATTTGCAGAAATCAACTTGCAAAGATGGCGAAAACTCTTTACTTGCCGAAAAGGGCTTCTGAGGAGAACAGGGCAGAAAGCAAGAGTTTAAAAGCGAGTGTCTGGAACGAGGACTATACACCACACGGTGCTCGTCCGTAAGCCCCACGTGGAGGGATGGCTCCTCTATTGCCTAATTTTTCTCTGGAAAGCAGAAGTTCATGGCTCTGGCAATGCGGCATTGTCGTATCTGCAGGCGGCACACGGGCTCTAAATGTCTACGTGCAGAACACCAACAACCGGAGGGGCGGGAATATTTTTAGATATTGATGGAAATGAATGTATTTTGCTTCAAAATAGCCCCCCCCCCCCGTCTGCCCTGTCGCTTCTTAAAAACACAGGGCCAAACCTCCATTGGAATGCCTTTGCACGCTCTCTCTCCCCCCCCCCGTCTTTCTCTCCCTCTCTCCCCCTCTCCTCTTTCTCTCTCCTTCTCTGTCTTTCTTTCTCCTCTCCCCCTTCCCTCTCCCTCCTCTCTCTCTCTCCTCCTTCACTCCTCTCCTCTCCCACTCCTTGTCTTTCTCTCCTCTTTCCCTCTTCCTCTCCTTCTTTCCCTTTCTCTCCCTCTTCCCTCTCTCCCTTTCTCTCCTCCTCTCCTCTCCCCCTCCTCTCCCCTCTCTCCTTTCCCCTCCTTCTCCTTCTTTCCCTCTTTCTCTTCCCCCTCTCCTCTCCTTTTCCCTCTCCTTCCCTCTCTCCCTCTTTCCCTCCCTCTCCTCTCCCCCTCACCTTCTTTCCCTCTCCCTCCCTCCCTCTCCTTTCCCCCTTCTTCTCCTTCTTTCCCTTTCTCTTCCCCTCTCCTCGCTCCTTCTTTCCCTCTCCCTCCCTCTCCTTCTCTCCCTCTCCCCTCCCTCTCCTTCTCCCCTCTCTCCTTTCCCCCTCTCCTTTTCTCCCTCCTTCTCCTTCTTTCCCTTTCTCTTCCCCCTCTCCTCTCCTTTTCCCTCTCCCTCCCTCTCTCCTTCCCTCTCTCCCTCCTTCTCTCCCTCCCTCTCCTCTCCCCCTCACCTTCTTCCCTCTCCCTCCCTCTCTCCTTTCCCTCTCCTTCTCTCCCTCCATCTCCTTCTTTCCCTCTTTCTCTTCCCCCTCTCCTCTCCTTTTCCCTCTCCTTCCCTCTCTCCCTCCTTTCCCTCCCTCTCCTCTCCCCCTCACCTTCTTCCCTCTCCCTCCCTCTCTCCTTTCCCCCTCCATCTCCTTCTTTCCCTCTTTCTCTTCCCCCTCTTCTCTCCTTTCCCTCTCCCTCCCTCTCTCCTTCCCTCTCTCCCTCCTTCTTTCCCTCCCTCTCCTCTCCCCCTCACCTTCTTTCCCTCTCCCTCTCCTTCTCCCCTCTCTCCTTTCCCCCTCTCCTTTCTCCTTCTTTCCCTCTTTCTCTTCCCCCTCTCCTCTCCTTTTCCCTCTCCTTCCCTCTCTCCCTCCTTTCCCTCCCTCTCCTCTCCCCCTCACCTTCTTTCCCTCTCCCTCCCTCTCCTTTCCCCCTCCATCTCCTTCTTTCCCTCTTTCTCTTCCCCCTCTTCTCTCCTTTCCCTCTCCCTCCCTCTCTCCCTCCTTCTTTCCCTCCCTCTCCTCTCCCCCTCACCTTCTTTCCCTCTCCCTCTCCTTCTCCCCTCTCTCCTTTCCCCCTCTCCTTTCTCCTTCTTTCCCTCTTTCTCTTCCCCCTCTCCTCTCCTTCTTTCCCTCTCCCTCCCTCTCTCCTTCCCTCCTTCTTTCCCTCCTTCTCCTCTCCCCTTCTCTCCTTTCCCCCTCTCCTTCTCTCCTTCCTCCTCCTTCTTTCCCTCTTTCTCTTCCCCCTCTCCTCTCCTTCTTTCCCTCTCCTTCCTTCTATCCTTCTCTCCCTTCTTTCCCTCCCTCTCCCTCACCTTCTTTCCCTCTCCCTCCCTCTCCTTTCCCCCTCTCCTTCTCTCCCTCCTCCTTCTTTCCCTCTTTCTTTCTCTTCCCCCTCTCCCTCCTCTCTCCCTCTCCTTCTTTCCCTGTCCCTCCTCTCCCCCCTCTCTCCCTCTCCTTCTCTCTCCACTGTTCTCTCTCCCCCTCTCCCCTCCTCCTCCTTCTCTCTCTCTCTCTCTCTCTCTCCCCCCACACACACAATTTTCAATGTAGAAATAATTATAGCAATCTTCCTCACAGGGCTGACAAAAGGATTACTGAGGTGTCTTGCAGAGAAGCTTCAAAGACTTTGCTGCACGTGATTAAAAAAACAAGCTTGCATTTCATGGGGGCCCTTTCAGACAAAATGGTAGGCTTGGCATCCTTGGGAGACCCAAAATCAGCAAATGGTGTTTTAAGCCTGCCCAGGGACGGCAGGGTGCGAAGAAGAAGAAGGAGGAGGCAGGGGAAGGAGTCCGTTTAGAGCCCATTTGCCACTGAGCATGTCGCGGGCGCACTCACAAAATGGTTGCCACGGGAGACTCGCCTGTTCAAAAAAAAAATAATAACCTCACCCTCCCAAAATACTTATTGGTTAGAAAGCGAATGACACGCCTTCCTTGGCATTCTTTCTACCCATCCGGAAGGAACTTCGGACAGCCTGAACTTATGGCTACAAATAAACACCACAAAGACTAGATGACCTCCAAGGTCCCTTCCAACTTTATTATTATTATTAAGACAGATGCCCCACATCACCCCAGCTTCCGATCCGTGTTTTCATCTCCATAACCTTCCCCAAAATAACGAAGGGCTACATTTATGATCCAGATGAGAACCAATCTGGTCTACTGGTTAAAGCACCAAGCTAGAAAGTGGGAGGCCGCGAGTTCTAGTTCCGCCTTAGGCAGGAAAGCCAGCTGGGTGACTTTTGGGCGAAACTCCAGGAGAGGGCCAGTTCTAGTCCTGTCTTAAGCATGAAAGATGACTGGGTGACTGTGCCAATCACCAGGAGACAGTGAATTCTAGTTCCATCTTAGGTATCAGTTGGGTGACTTTGGGCCAATCACCAGGGGACGGTGAGTTCTAGTCCCGCCTTAGGCATGAAAGCTGGCTGGGTGGGTCAATCACCAGGAGACGGTGAGTTCTAGTCCCGCCTTAGGCATGAAAGCCGGCTGGTTGACTTTGGGCCAATCACCAGGAGACGGTGAGTTCTAGTCCCGCCTTAGGCATGAAAGCCGGCTGGGTGACTTTGGGCCAATCATCAGGGGACGGTGAGTTCTAGTCCCGCCTTAAGCATGAAAGCCAGCTGGGTGACTTTGGGCCAATCACCAGGGGACGGTGAGTTCTAGTCCCGCCTTAGCCATGAAAGCCGGCTGGGTGACTTTGGGCCAATCATCAGGGGACAGTGAGTTCTAGTCCAGCCTTAAGCATGAAAGCCGGCTGGGTGACTTTGGGCCAATCACCAGGAGACGGTGAGTTCTAGTCCCGCCTTAGGCATGAAAGCCGGCTGGGTGACTTTGGGCCAATCACCAGGAGACGGTGAGTTCTAGGGTTAGGAATGCAAACCAGCTGGGTGACTTTGAGTCAACCCTTCTCTCTCTCAGCCCACTCCGCCCCAAAGTTGTGGTAGTTGTGATGAAAATAACAGGAAGAAACAGTGCTGGGATTCTTTAATCCCAACTAAAACTAGGGACGTTTGCCATCTTGAGTCATTTGTCGAAATAATAAAAGTCGGGATATAAACAAATAAATTCATCACAACAGAACTTTGGCGCATCGCTAATACCGCCCCAATTCTTAGAAAACTTGTCTCAAAAGAGCCATTTAGAGTTCACCGCTTAGACTTGGAAACACCATTTCACACAAGTGATTGTGGTTTCCCCCCCCCCTTTTGTGCAGAGAGGGTCCCAAATAATAATTCAGCTGCTTTGCAAAATGAACCGTGCCTAGCTGTCTCTCCTCTGCCCAAACAACCCCTTGTAAGCTTTACACAGCGCCGTGGAAAAATTTGAATTCTCACTGCCAAGTTACTGTTTGTGTCACAAATCACCAGCATTCCCTGACAGGAAACAGGTTGCAGGTGTATTGACAAACCTGTTTGAAAGCTGCACTGAGGCAATTCAGGATATTTATGGGGTTCAAGACACATTTCACCAAATATTTCACCCCATCCCCTCTTGGGCCCGACTGCAGCTACACAAAGACCACTGGCACACAGACACAACCAAACTTAACTTTTTTTTTTTTTTGCAAAACAAGAGCTTTAGATCCTGGTGGCCCATCCCAAGACCAGATTCTCCCCCCCCCACCCTCCCCATTCCAGCAAACCACGGTTTGGAAAAGTCACCCCGTCCGTCCAAACGAGCAAGAGGGCAATAGAGTCGAGTATGGGGTTTGTTTTTTTTTCAGGAAGAAAACAGCCGAACATCTGGAAAAAAAATCTCAGCCGCCACATCTGGAATGTCTCTTTTGCTCACCTGGCTGGCTTTGTAGAACTGCTTCTTCAACCCTGCCACAGACATGATGAGGAGGAAGAGGATGGTCCTCGGGATTTCCGCCGGAGTCTGCTGAGGAAGCTGGACCCCAATTTGGGGCAAGGCGATGGTGGGCTGGTGTGTGTGGGGGAGAAAAAGATCAGAGGGGGGCAGAAAAAGATCAGAGGGGGGCAGAAAAAGTGGGGCAGGAGGATCCCAGCACTGGCATGAAGGGGTCAGCAGCCAGGCAGGGCAGGGGTGGGGGGTGTCAGGCAGATCCTGGCCACCCAGGAGAGATACTCTAGCCTTGGGGAGAATACAGGGTGGCCCCCACAAAAGAGGCTGGGGTCTGGATCAGAGCAGCCCAGGAGCACCAAAGCAGCCCCTTCCCCAATGAACCAGCTCTCCCTGCTCAAGGGCAAAAAACAGCCAAAAAAACCCCCAATTTAAATGCCAAAAACCACGGAGAAGCTTCGAATGGGGGGGGGGCTCTGCCAAAGACAGAGGGAGACTGCCTGGCTGAGAGGGGCTGTTTTAAGAAGCCGAGAAAGGCAGCCACTGCCCCCAAATCAAAACTGGCTGGCGGTTTGAACCGGCTCAAGAGACTAGTCCTCAACGAGGCCAAAGGAGAGCAGAGCCCTCCGGCGGGCGGAGGAGCCGGCTTAAAGGCTTGAAAATGATGTTTTGAGCAGGGAGGGTGGGAGTTGTCCCTTTTTCCCCTTCTTCCTTTCCCCGAGAAGGGCAGCCGAAGAGAGGGAACGAGAAAGGGAAGCAGGAGGAGAGCAGACGGGGCGGAGGGAGGAGAAGGGAGGGCGGAGGGACACACAAAGTAGCTCCCGGAGCAGACGGACCAACGGGCGGGGACAAAGGGGAAGGAGGGAGACGAACGACGCCCTTCGGCTCCCGCGGAGCTCCGAGCTCAGCCCCGCTCGCCCTCCGCGCCCCTCGGGATGCTACACGGCCCGTTTGCCCAGTTCCGTCCCCCTCTGCGCCTGCGCAAAAACGCTCTTATGTCCCTCGGCGGAGGGATTCCATTTAAAAAAGCCAGAGCGGGAGGGAGGAGGAAAAAAAGAGGATCCGGTTCCACGCTTTCCACCATAGATAAATAAAGGATAGAGCGTTCGCGTCTATATTCGCGTCCCTTCGCGAGGGGCAGAGAGAGCATCAAGGAAAGCGCCAGAGCGCCCCCTAGCGCTTTTAACCCACAATGCACAGTTGGGGCGGTATTATTCTATTTGCAGTCCGCCCAGCCACGTGTTTTAGGACAGAATAACAGAATAAGCCAGTGGGAAGGGACTTCGGAGGTCTTCTAGTCCAACCCCCTGCTCAAGCAGGAAACCCTATACTGGTAGGCCTCGACTTACAATAGTTCGTTTAGTGACCGTTCAAAGTTACAACAGCAGTGGGAAAAAAAACTAACTTGTGACCATTTTTCACACTTACGACCTTTTTAGGCACCCCATGATCATGTGATCAAAATTGAGACACTGGACAACTGGCTCATACTTATGACCACTGTTGTGTCCCAAGGTCACGCAATCCCCATTTGCGACCCTTGGGCAAGCAAAATCAACGGGAAAGCCAGATTCACTTAACAACCGTGTTACTAACTTAACAACTGCAGGGATTCACTTAACAACTGGCAAGAAAGGTCATAAAATGGGGCAAAGCTCACTTAACTGTATCAGCAATGGAAATATTGGACTCGATTTTGTTCACCATGATGTAAAAAAGATGTTGAGACTCTAGAAAGAGGGCAGAGAAGAGCAACAAAGAGGATCAGGGAACTGGAGGCTAAAACATAGAAGGAACGGTTGCTGGAATTGGTTATGTCTCCTTTAACGAAGAGAAGGACGAGGGGGGACATGATAGCAGTCTTCCAATATCTCAGGGGCTGCCACAAAGAAGAGGGAGTCAAGCTATTCTCCAAAGCTCCTGAAGGCAGGACAAGAAGCAACGGATGAAAAAAAAGAAACAACGGATGGAATCTCATCAAGAAGAGAAGCAGCCTAAGAATTAAGGAGAAACTTCTTGACAGTGAGAACAATTAACCGGTGGAACAACTTGCTTCCAGAAGCAGTGAATGCTCCAACACTTTATATGTTACTTACATGTGAGGGTGTAGATCTATACATATGTTGTATACATAGCATGCTTTAAATGTGTGTTATGTATGTGCACTCTTGGAGAGCAAGCAACTAAATTTCATGTTTAATGTGTGCCCATCATAAAAAGTGGCAATAAAGGTTAAACTAAGAGACTGGACAGCCATTTGTCTGAAATGGTATAGGGTTTCCTGCCTGAGCAGGGGGTTGGACTAGATGACCTCTAAGGTCTCTTCCAACTTTATTATTATTATTATTATTATCATTAATCATTGCACAGTCAGCCAGATGTTCAGACTGGATTTGGCATTTTTGTCTACCTATCAAGTCCTTCCCAAGGACCTGGGATAGGCAGATGTGGATGTTTGATGGTATTACAGATATCGTCGCAGGATGGAAGCAGTTCCTAGTAAGGCTGCCTTTTGCCATTGACTAATGGCGAATTTGTCAATGCGGATGGTGTTCAATTGGTGCTCCAGTTGTGTTGGGATTGCACTCAAGCCGCCTATTACTATTGGTACTATTATTGGTACTATTATTATTATTATTATTATTACTATTAATCAAGGACTACTGTATGTGACACTTAAGAGTGCATGTTCATGAGATATTTGTATGTGTGTGTATCTGTGCATGCACCTTCAAGTCAGTGCTGTGTCCTGGGGACTGCCTAGACCAGGGGTGTCAAACTTGCAATGTCATGTGATGTATGTGACTTTTTTTCCATTGCCGGCAATGGGGTGGGCGTGGTTTCGCTATGATGCATCCGGCCCGCGGGCCAGCAGTTTAACACGCCTGACCTAAACAAATCCCTGCAGTTTCATTTTATGGATTTATTTGGGGGGCATGCAATAATGGGATGCACGAGACATCCGCACACAGTATCTTTCCGGTTTTCTGGAAGAGTGTGTCGTGCCCGATTCGGATCTGAGCCTGGTGCTGAGGCGGTTGAAGAACACCAGCGCTCCAAGAAAAGGGATCCTGGCCAAAATGCCAAGGAATCTCGAAGCAGAGAATTAAGAATTAACAGTGCTGCACCAGTTGAGTGGGTTGACTTACGACCAGTTGTGGGTCGCGGCATTAAAAAGGTTGAGAACCACTGCCCTATACCATTTCAGACAAATGGCTGTCCAGTTTCATCTTAAAAACTTCCAGTGTTGGAGCATTCACAACTTCTGGAGGCAGGTTGTTCCACTGATTAATTGTTCTAACTGTCAGGAAGTTTCTCCTTAGTTCCAGGTTGCTTCTCTCCTTGATGAGTTTCCATGTGTTGCTTGTCCTGCCTTCAGGCACTTTGGAGAATAGCTTGACTCCCTCTTCTTTGGGGCAGCCCCTGAGATACCGGAACACGGCTATCCTGTCTCCCCTCGTCCTTCTCTTCATTAAACTAGACAGACCCAATTCCAGCAACCATTCTTTCTATGTTTTAACCTCCAGTCCCCTGATCATCTTTGTTGCTCTTCTCTGTACTCTTTCTAGAGTCTCAACATCTTCACAGTCACAGAATGGATCCCACTGGATCAAAAGCATCCATGAAAGAGACCTTAAGCAAGATGGATCGATTGGGCATTACAAGCCCAATTGGCAAAAGGAAGCTCGGGATCGTCTAGATTGGCAGAAGAAGCCTTCATCCTGCTGTGGATAGACGGTGGCTAAATGATGGTGAAGAAAAGTAATCTTATCTTTATTATGTCAGTGTCAGCAAGACTTCTACAGAATGGCAGTCAACTGAAGAAGCCGATTTTGACAGGAAAAGGCAGCGACTTTAAAAAAGTATAGACCAAGCTAGAACTGTTTCTTTAGGCATAATAGGAGGAAACCATGAGAAAGATTGCATATACTTAATTTTACATGTATTAACTGCAGCAAGAATTGTATTTGCCCAATATTGAACTACGGTGCTGGAGAAGACTCCTGCGAGTCCCCTGGACTGCAAGGCGATCCAACCAGTCAGTCCTGGAGGAGATCAACCCCAACTGCTCTTTAGAAGGCCAGATCCTGAAGTGGAAACTCAAGTACTCTGGCCACCTAATGAGAAGGAAGGACTCACTGGAGAAGAGCCTGATGCTGGGAAAGATGGAGGGCAAGAGAAGAAGGGGACGACAGAGAAGGAGGTGGCTGGATGGAGTCACTGAAGCAGTAGGCGTGAGCTTCAATGGACTCCAGAAGATGGTAGAGGACGGGAAGGCCTGGAGGAATGTTGTCCATGGGGTCGCGATGGGTCGGACACAACTTTGCAACTAACAACAACAATATTGAAAAAATGAAAACTTACCAACTGAGGAAGAACTAATTAAGAAAATATTAGACTGTGCAGAAATGGACAGATTGACATTAAAGAGAAAAGAGAAAGAAGACTCAGTGTACTTTAGGATATGGGACAATTTTTACCAATGGCTAGAAAAGTAAATTAGAAAGAAAGGAACGTGATATGTACTATGTAACATTGAATATATACTAGTAAGAAGTAGATTATTGAGCGATTAACTAACATATTGATTATGATATTATAGAAATTAACCCTTATTTATCTTTTAAATACGTGAACCCAGATGCTGTTTGCTAACCATTAAGATATGTTATTTAAAAAAACCCTAACCCTAACCCTAGAATAATTAATAAAATATATACAAAAAAGACAGCGATTTCATGGGTGACTTTTAGATTTTTATTTGACTTTCACCAAATCCAGGCCATAAAAGACAGCCCTCAGCTCATGACATTACCTGCCTCCTCCAGGGGTACCCAGCAACATTAATTAAAAAATTGCAAACATGTATTAAACAGGATGCCCTGAAATTAAACCCATGAGTGAGTACCTTATTATCATATGTGGTGGACATGTGTTAAAGCAAGGAGATATGGGACAGTAATACATACTGATTAGAAAAAATGTTAAGAGAAATACATAGACTATAAATCTGATATTTTTTTTTAACTAGGTATAATGCCAGAAAAACTTGATAAGCAAAGTACATATTTGATTCTACGTGTGATAACAGTGGCGAGAATTATATTTGCACGATATTGGGAGAACGAAGAAATGCCACCAGAAGAAGAAATAATCAAAAAAATATTAGATTGTGCGGAAATGGACAGACTTACTTTAAGGTTGAAAGAAAAAAGAAGAGAAAGAATATTTTCAAACTTGGGACCTATTTTATCCATGGTTAGAGAAAAGATTTAGGGATTAGGAATTTAATTTGGATTAACGAATAAGATATTCAGACAAGACTTTTTTTGTTGAATGATTATTATTGAACTCTGTTTAAAAACAATAATAATAAAACTTAGAAATAAATAAATAAATCCATTAGTGAGACTTATTTCTCCCTAGAGCAGTGGTTCTCAACCTTTTTAATGCCGCGACCCCCAACTGGTCGTAAGTTGAGGACTACTCAATCGGTCGTAAGTCGAGGACTACTCAACTGGTGCAGCACCGTTTGCAGAATGGGACTTTTGGCGGGCTCAGCAGGGCAGAGACAGCCTGGACAATTCCTATTGGCTTTGGAAAGCCAATAGAATTAGACTCTATTCAAGAGAGTCTATTCTATTGGCTTTCAAAAGCCAATAGAATAAAAGGGAGTAGCACAGCTAAGGAAAAGGGTGGGGGGAAATGGCGGACTGCGTTGTTTGGCGACCCCCGTGAAATGGTCGTTCGACCCCAAATGGGGTCTCGACCCACAGGTTGAGAACCACTTCCCTAGAGTCTGCTTACCCTGACTCTCTTCATAGAGGAGCCTTTAAAACCTGGTTTATTTACACCCTGGTTTAGAATAAGTGGTTAGACTCCTTAGGTTTTTTTTTTTTTTTTTTAATACCAGTCTGAATTTTCATGAATGGTTACTTAAGACGCCCGGGTCGTAGCTCCTTCAAATCCTCAGTAGGCAACTTTTAAAACTTGTGGACTTCCACTCCCAGAATTCCTCAGCCACATGGCTAGCTAAGGAATTCTGGGAGTTGAAGTCCACAGGTCTTAAAAGTTTGAAGACCCCCCCCCCCCAGCCCTAAAATAAAATTTCTTTGGTTCCTCAGTAAGCACAATAAAGGATCCACGTGCAGACCATTCATTTAATCGGGAAATGAAACGTGGAGATTCCACTTTCTGGCTTCACTTTAGAAACTTTGCATTCCGACCAATCAGGAGCACGCGTCTCTGCGCTGGCCAATAGGAAGGCAGCAGATTTTGACCAATCAGATTTTGACCAATCAACTGTTTTGCCCTTTCAAGTTTCAGGCTGCGGACTGAGCCATAGAGGTAAAGTTAAAAAAGGAAGGATGGAAAGCCTTGGGCGCCGGAATTAAAGCGGCAAATTCATAAAATGGGGCAAACCTCATTTAACGACCGTTTTGCTTAGCAACGTAAATTTTGGGCTCGGTGGTGGTTTTCGTCAAGGATTACCTCCAGAAGTTGTGAAAGCTCCAACACTGGAAGTTTTTAAGAAGAGACTGCACAGCCATTTGTTCAAAATGGTATAGGGTTTCCTGCCTGAGCAGGGGGTTGGACTAGATGACCTCCAAGGTCCCTTCAACTTTATTATTTATTTTTATTATTATTATTATTATTATTATTATTTGTACAATATCAGAAAGGGAGAGGAAATTCTACAATGGCTACGTTTTCTCTTATAAGATAATCTTTATTGTCATTTATAAAATAAAATTATCTCTATTGTCATTTTTTACTGGGGTTGTTTTCTCAGGGGCTGCCCCAAAGAAGAGGGAGTCAAGCTATTCTCCAAAGTGCCTGAAGGCAGGAAAAGAAGCAACGGATGGAAACTAACCAAGGAGAGAAGCAACCTAGAACCAAGGAGAAACTTCCTGACAGTGAGAACAATTAACCAGTGGAACAACCTGCCTCCAGAAGCTGTGAATGCTCTATCACTGGAAGTTTTAAAGAAGAGATTGGACAACCATTTGTCTGAAATGGTATAGGGTTTCCTGCCTGAGCAGGGGGTTGGACTAGAAGACCTCCAAGGTCCCTTCCAATTTTATTACTACTACTACTACTGTGGGCACACTGGCACACATTAAAAATGAAATTGTTACCTGCTCTCAAAAGTGTGCTCATACATAACCCACGTTAACAAGCTATATACAACGTATGTATATACCTACACCCTTATATATAAATGTATATAAATATTAATCACTGTCCATCTTGAATACACAGCAGAAAGAGGAAGCTTGACAGTTCACAAAAGTAATACTATGAGAACTATCAAAAGGGAGAAACTTTCCAAAGAGTCTCAAAAGATGTTGAGTTCAGAGAAGAGCAACAAAGATGATCAGGGGACTGGAGGCTAAAACATACAAGGAACGGTTGCTGGAATTGGGTATGTCTAGTTTAATGAAGAGAAGGACAAGGGGGGACATGATAGCAGTCTTCCAATATCTCAGGGGCTGCCCCAAAGAAGAGGCAGTCAAGCTATTCTCCAAAGCCCCTGAAGGCAGGACAAGAAGCAACGGATGGAAACTCATCAAGGAGAGAAGCAACCTAGAACTAAGGAGAAACTTCCTGACAGAACAATTAACCAGTGGAACCACCTGCCTCCAGAATAGAATAGAGCTGGAAGGGACCTTAGAGGTCTTCTAGTCCAGCCCCTCGCTTAAGCAGGAGAACCCTATATCATCTCAGACAAGTGGCAGTCTAGCCTCTTCTTGAAGTTGTGAATGCTCCAGCACTGGAGATCTTTAAGAAGAGATTGGACAACCATTTGTCTGAAATAGTATATAGGGTCTCTTGCTTGAGCAGGGGGGTTGAACTAGAAGACCTCCAAGGTCCCTTCCAATTCTATTAGTCTGTTAAATGAAATGTGCCTTCAGCTTTCAGGGATGATAATAGTAGTAGTAGTAGTAATAATAATAAAATTGGAAGGGGTCTTGGAGATCATCTAGTCCAACCCCCTGCTCAGGCAGGAAACCCTATACCAGGGGTAGGCAACCTTGGCTCTTTTGTGATTCGTGTACTTCAACTCCCAGAATTCTGGGAGTCCACGAGTCATAAAAAAGCCAAGGTTGCGTACCTTGCCGTATACCATTTCAGACAAACGGCTGTCCTGTCTCTTCTTAAAAACTTGCAGCGGTGGATCATTCACAGCTTCTGGAGGCAGGTCGTTCCACTGGTTAATTGTCCCCCCCCCCCTTTCCCAAGTCTTGGAATACAACCCCTTTCTGGAAAATTTGGAAAGATCAAAGCAATCCAGCAGCGGGCGCCCGGCTTTCCCCCCCCCGCAACCTTTCATTCCCCCTCTCCAGAACCTGAAGTAGAGACGCGTCGCTTTTTCACCCGGATCTCTACAGCCTCCTGGGAGAGGTGGAGGCAGGCGGAGCGTCCCGTTCGGGGCTGTTCTCGCGAGATCTGGAGCCGCCGCTTCCCGCTCCCTCCGCGCGCCTCCCTCCCTCGCGCACAGCCGGCAGGGTCACGTGGGCGCGGCGTCCCGCCCTATCAGGGCGCCGGAGCGCGAAGGTCGGCCGAACTCCCGCCAAATACGAGCGAGCCGACGGGCGGTTGGGCGCAGGGCGAACCGGACGGGGCCGGCCGCGGCGGGGCTTCGCTGTTCCCGGGGATGTGACGGGGAGCGTCGGCTTCCCGCCGCCCGGCCGCTCTTCTCCTCGGGCAGGTGAGGGGCTAGAGCGAGCCGCGGGGGGGGGGAGCGGTGAGGGAGAGGGAAGGGGAGGGGAGGGGGAGGGGAAGAGGAAGGAACCCTGACGGGAAACTGAGGCAGAGAGGGAAGAAAAAGGAAAGGAGGGGTCTCTAAGCGGGTACTGAGGGGAAACTGAGGCAGGGCGAAGGGTCTCTCTGGGGGAAACTGAGGCAGGGAAGGGAGGGGTCTCTCTGGAGGAAACTGAGGCAGAGAGGGGAGGGGTCTGTAAGGGGAAAAAGGAGGGGTCTCTGAGGGAACTGAGACAGAAGGGAGGGGGGGTCTTTAATGGGTGAGACAGGAGGGGAGGGGGTCTTTCGGGGAAACTGAGGCAGGGAGGGGAGGGGGGGTCTCTAAAGGGAAAGGCAAGAGGGAGGGGTCTCTGGGGGAATCTGAGGCAGGGAGGAAAGGAAAGGAGGGGTCTCTAAGCGGGTACTGAGGGGAAACTGAGGCAGGGAGAAGGGTCTCTCCGGGGGAAACTGAGGCAGGGAGGAGAAAGGTCTCTGGGGGAAACTGAGGCAGGGAGGGGAGGGTCTGTAAGGGGAAACAGGCAGGAGAAAAAGGAGGGGTCTCTGAGGGAACTGAGACAGAAGGGAGAGGGTCTCTAATGGGAAACTGAGGCAGGGAGGGGAGGGGGTCTCTAAAGGGAAAGGCAAGAGGGGGGAGTCTCTGGGGGAAACTGAGGCAGGGAGGGGAGGGGTCTCTAAAGGGAAACAGGCAGGGAGGGGGAGGGGGTCTCCAAAGGGAATCTGAGGCAGGGAGGGGGGCCTCTAAAGGAAACAGGCAGGTCTCTCTGGGGGAAACTGAGGCAGGGAGGGGAGGGCTCTGAGGGGAAACAGGCAGGAGAAAAAGGATGGGTCTCTGAGGGAACTGAGACAGGAGGGAGGGAGGGAGAAGGCAAGGGATCTCTAAAGGGAAACTGAGGCAGGAGGGAGGGGCCTCTGAGGGGGAACTGAAGCAGGAGGGGAGGGGTCTCTTAGGGAACTGAAGTGGTAGGGAGAGGGGAGGGGTCTCTAAAAGGAAATTGAGGCAGGGGTCTCTTAGGGGGAACTGAGGTGGTGGGGAGAGGGGAGGGGTCTCTAAAGGAAACTCAGGGAGGGGAGGAGTCTCTAAGGGGGAACTAAGGCAGGAGGGAGGGGTCTCTAAGGGGGAACTGAGGTGGTAGGGAGAGGGGAGGGGTCTCTAAAGGGAAACTGAGGCAGGAGGGAGGGGTCTGTGAGGGAAAACCCAGGCAGGGAGGGAGGGGTTCTTTCAGGGGAAACGGAGGGAGGGGAGGAGTCTCTGAGGTGGGAGGGAGAGGGGGCTGGTTCTGTAAAGGGAAACTGAGGCAGGGAAGGAAGGACTCGTCAAGCAAAACTGAGGCAAGCAGGAGGGTCTCTGAGGGGCCACTGAGGCAGGAAGGAGGAGTTGCTGAGAGGAAATGGAAGTAGGAGGGGCAGGGACCTCTGAGGGGAAACTGAGGTAGGCAGGGGCCACAAGAGGGCAGAAGAGCCTTGTATCAGAGGCTTCACCAGCTTTGGGGGGCTTCACCTGTAGGTTTGAGACTGGGGTTCGAGGCATTGTGTGAACCCTGAGCAGGGCTTAAATCCTGGGACAGGTTAAAAGTATTGGGGGAAACCTCACTTGCATATCACACTGTTGGGGGAACTGAGCAAAGGAAGCAGCGATAGGCCCAGGGAGGGGAATGGTAGCCAAATCAGATGCTGGTGGGGGGGCTTCACTTATTGAAATGCTGCCACCCGGGGGTTCCTTCAGCGCTTTCAATCGGCTTGCAAATTTCAGTGGCTGGCTTCAACTAAATCCAACCAAGGTACAGTACTTGATATGTTAGGTGAATCAGAAACAGAAACTGTTAATAATGTGTGTGTGTGTGTGGTTTAATGATAAGGGGGATTTGGCATGGGGTGGCTAAAACTGAGTGATCACAAGAAGGATTGGGTGAAGGCCAGTATTAATCTGAGGTGAACAATATTACATTTGTTCTGAATATCTGCAGAAATTTAATGATTATCTGCCTTTGCTAGGCAACTATGGAGTGTCGAAATAAAACTGGAGTTCCAGCCCGGAAGCTAATCCAAGGTACCTTGTTTTCTCTTCAAATATGTAATCTGGTTCTTCAACTTTTTATCTTTTTCTTATTACTTGGATTTGTAATGCTATTTGCATTCAATTCTGTGTTTCGTACCTTTATCCTTTCACGGAGTTGCAGAAACTAGAATGCAAAGAGACCCAGAGGGAATGATGGTTCTTTTTATGCTATTCACTTTGTTGAATGGTGTGGCAAATATTAATTCATCTTGGTTTTGTTGAACTGCAGTCCTGAACAGCGCTGATCTAGTCAGTGACTTGAGAAGAGTCCCCATTAGTGCATCTGCAGTCAGGAGCCTAAGCCTCCTTTAAAACTGCATACAGGTAGTCCTCAACTTACAATCAAAATTGAGCCCAAAATTTCTGTTGCTAAGTGAGATGGTTAAGTGAATTTTGCCCCATTTTGTCATCTTTCTTGCCACAGTTATTGTGAATCTGGCTTCCTCATTGACTTTTCTTGTCAGACGTTTGCCAAAGGAGATCATATAGTCCCGGGACACTGCAACTGCCATAAATACATGCCAGTTTCCCAGTGTATAAATTTTGATCATGTGACCATGGAGATGCTGCAATGGTTGTAACTCTGAAAAATGGTCATAAATTAGTGCCGTTATAACTTTGGACACTAAACAAATGGTTGTAAGTCAAGGACTACCTGTAGTTGCTTGAGCTGTGGGATGGGTGATGATAGCTCACTGTATCTAAGAATCTAAGGACTCCTATTAACAGGTCAAACATTAACATTATATCATAATTTAAGTATGTGGAATAACTAGAGTAAGTTGGGTTCATTCCTGTCACTAAGCAGTATTAAATCATGGTTTCATAATGTCTGTGTCCTAGTTCATAGAACAGTCAAAAAAAAGCAATTACATTGCTTAATGTTATGTCTGAATTCAGCTATATTATTTGCCTCTGGTATGGAGAAATTATTGTGAATACAGAACCACCAAGCTCATGGCTGGTATTGATAGTTTTATGTTTTTGAATTTGTCAAAATTCCCCTTTGGAGCTAAATTAACAGCATTCTCTGTGTCTTATAGTAATAAATTTAATTGTCAATAACGCTTGGATATATTTGCATGGCTATTCATAGATTTCTGGGTGGCTTACAAAGCCAAAAGCCAAAATACAATGTAAACATTCAATAATATTTCCTCCTAACTGAAGACAGAATCAAACAATTATTCCAGAATGAGAAACTACAGTAAATTAGAATCTAGGCTTAGTTAAAATTTAAATTATGTTCTAAAAGGCTCTGGGGATTTGAAAGATACATGTGCTTTCAAAAAGGACGTCCTTTGTCTCCAATTTTCTGTGTTTCAGACCAAAAGCCTTTCTCATCCAGCATCTTCCCGCATTGTTCAGGCAGATGCTGTGGGAAGCCCAGTGTGATACGCACCCACTTGTGTTCCCTAGTTACTCCTACCAAGAAGCTTTAATGATAATATGCATCTGTCATCCTTAACAGCCTTCAACCTCTTCATTTTTCGTGAATTTGTCTCATCCCCCTTCAGAGTTATCCAATTGCCATTTTATAGTTTAAACCAGGGGTAGGCAACCTCGGCTCTTTTATGACTCATGGACTGACTAAGGAATTCTGGGAGTTGAAGTCCATGAGTCATAAAAGAGCCGAGGTTGCCTACCCCTGGTTTAAACCATGATTTAATTATGCCTTTTAAAAAAAAAGTACCTTTTCGGACTCTTCGTTTAATTATTTTGAATGACTCTAGTTTCTAATATTTTAAGAGAAAAAAGGTTGCCCATATTTGAACTGTGCGCCCCCCCCCTTAGCCTTATACTATAAATTTTTGTCAGAGATGTTCCACGTATTCAAATTTAGTTATCTGTAGTCTGTGGTCCATTGATGGGCTGCGAGAATACATTCATAAATATTGGTTGCCAGGCTGACAAAGAATCTGGAGGACTGTAATCTTAACAGCTACTGCAAGCTTCTCTGTTGTTAGTGAAGAAATCTTGATGGATTACAGGTAGAAAGAAGTCAGAAACTTTTGTCAGGTCCCACAAACCAAGAGCAACACCTGGGATAACTTCTGAGTAGTTTTGTTCGCCTACAGACAGAATCTTGTCAGACTAACACAACTATCTGCACAACTATAGATACATCTGTGAACTGTTAGGGAGGGTTCGTCTTTGCCCTCTTCCTAACAGACTTTCCAAGTTTTGCTGCCCTCTGGAAAGCAACCCTTCCCTCTGGGACTCCAGACCACATTTCACTACACACACACAAACACACACACACACACACACACACACACACACACACACACTGCCGTAATACACATGAAACTATATTGTTTTAAAAGGGAGACAGTTCTGTTGCTAGAATTTTTGCAGTCCCGTCTTTACTCCATAGATCTTGATTAATGAGAACCCTGTGAGAATTCTGCTTGGAAAAGAATCAGTTCCCCAAAAGCCTGACAATTTAAGTAGCCCCGAATATAAGTGTCAAGCAACCAAAATATTATTTGTCTAGGCGGGAACACAAAGACCTCTAGGGATTTGGCAACAACCACGTTAATTTACGGTCTTGAAAAATAAAACGTTTAATTTGAAACTTTGCACGAAGTTTGGATGTCAGCTGAAAAGGACGTACGTGTAATATCTGCAGGCTTTCTGTTGCTGATCTTTAGCTTGTGTGATAATCCTCTAAAGCTTTTGATCACATTGGTGATAGTCCAAGGTTGTGAATCTGTCTGGCACCATTTAGTTGCCTTATTTCGATAGTAGTCTTTTTATCAAGCATTTGTACAAGGGTAATAAATGTCGACAGCTTCCATTCAGGATCCCCAGTGTGGCATTTTCCTTTTTAAGAGGAGCTTGTACCATAAATGCCGGCGTACAAGGCGACCCGGCGTATAAGACGACCCCCGTCTTTATAGCCGGGCCGCATTCCTAGAACGTCGTCTTATACGCCGGAAACTACCAGTATTTCCGGCGTGTAAGACGACTCGGCGTATAAGACGACCCCCGTCTTTGGCGCCGATTTCAGCGCTCGCGGAAGTCGCCTTATACGCCGGCATTTACGGTAGCTTTTAGTAAACATTCTTTTTCCACTACAAGATTCCTTTCTTGATCAGATGTCAAGGGACTGTTCTGTGCCAGAAAGATATATATTTCGAAGTAAGAATTATTAACATCGTTACTTTTTTTATTCAGTCTTTTTGTGAAACTCAAGGTGGCAATATATAGCAATAGCACTTGGACTTATATCCGCTTCCCAGTGCTTTACAGAGTCAACATATTGGCCCCAGCAATCTGGGTCCTCATTTTACTGACTTTGGGAGGATGGAAGGCTGAGTCAACCTTCAGCGCGTGAGGATCGAACTCCTGGCAGTGAGCAGAGTTAGCCTGCAATGCTGCATTCTAACCACTGCATCACCACAGCTCATGAACATACTTAATACCTTATTTCCCCGAGAACAACAATCCTTTGAGGTGAGTTGAGCTGAGATAGAGAGAGAGACTGGCTCAAGGTCAGCTTTCATGTCCAAGGAATCAAGTTCTCTAATGTACGCAAAGCACACTAAGCCATATCAGAAATAGTGTGATGCCGGTGGTTTAATTTTCCATTTTTATAAAGGTGATGGACCTGCATGTTAACACACACATAATTTGAGATAGGAAATAGAAATCATTGCAAACCACCCCATGGATTGAGCTGATAAAATGCTGCTGCTGCTGATCGCAATTATTATTATTAATAATAATAAAGTTGGAAGGGATCTTGGAGGTCATCAAGTCCAACCCCTGCTCAGGCAGGTAACCCTATACCATTCCGGACAAATGGCTGTCCAGTCTCTTAAAAACTTCCAATGTTGGAGCATTTACCGCTTTTGGAGGCAGGTTGTTCCACTGGTTAATTGTTCCAACTGTCAGGAAGTTTCTCCTTAGTTCCAGGTTGCTTCTCTCCTTGATTAGTTTCCACCCGTTGCTTCTTGTCCTGCCTTCAGGCGCTTTGGAGAATAGCTTGACTCCCTCTTCTTTGGGGCAGCCCCTGAGATATTGGAACACTGTTATCATGTCCCCCCTCGTCCTTCTCTTCATTAAACTAGACATACCCAATTCCAGCAACCGTTCCTTGTATGTTTTAGCCTCCAGACCTCTAATCATCTTTGTTGCTCTTCTCTGCACTCTTTCCAGAGTCTCAACATCTTATTTACCTCATGATGACCAAAACTGGACGCCGTATTCCAAGTGTGGCCTTACCAAGGCCTTGTAAAGTGGTATTAACACTTCACGTGATCTTATTATTTTAAAATGAGTGTTGATCATTTTATATGTTTGCATATCGGTTTGTTTTATCGGATTGTTGCTTTTTTTTTTTGCGGTGAGCTGCTTAGATTAGAGGGGCAGCCGTACAAATTAAATAACGGTAATATTCATTTTGTTGATCTTGTTATTCCAGCTCGGCTGCCCTTCAAGCGCTTGAACCCCATACCAAAGGAGAAGCACGACACCGACCCCGAAGTCAAGAAAGCCAGGAGCGTGCAGCACCTCCTCAATCAAAACACACCCCACCCCGCCTCACCGCACCCATTATCGGACAATGTGGAAAACAGTTGTGAGGAAGAATCGGAATCCCACGTTCCAAAACTGGTTAACGGCAAGGGCCCTCTGGATAACTTTGTGCAGAAAAGTAAAAAAAAGGAGACGATTCCGTCTCCGTTCTTCATAGACTTGACGGACAACCCTCCTCACAGACCGAATGATAACATGGGTGGCACCAAGCCCAACGTCAAAATAGCATCTTCTGGGGAAACCTCGAAGGAGAAAGGAGGCCAGGCTGATCCCCCAAATTCCTCTTGTGACCCCCAAGGAGATCCCTGTTTAGAAACTGGCTTAGACGTAACAGATAAGGAACTTCCAAATGCGGGGTACGCTGGGATCCAAACCAATACCTCCAAAGAGGATAAACCTCCAAATGTCATATTTGAACGGAAAATGCCGGTCGTGGTTCTGGAGGACATCTTGGCCAGCAGGTCTCCTCCAGCTGCAGCTTTGGAAAGGAGCGTGACATCTGAAAACGAAACCATGGAGTCTTGTCCCGAAGAGGACGACACGCCTTGTACAAATTCCTCCTCCAGTTCTCTCTCTCTCACCAGCTCTCCTGAGTCTCGGGCGACCACGGAGCACGACGTCGCTCCGATAGCTGCTTCAACGCCGATTTGGCAGGTGGGTATCCGCTTCAGGAAAGCCACCTCAGGGTAAATATATCAAGTGGTCCTTTAGTGACCGTTTGAAGTTACAACGGCGCTGAACAAAAGTGACTTGTGACGGTTTTTCACACGAGCATTGCGGCACCAGTCACGTGATCAAAATTTAGACCAGTGGGGGCGAACCTGTGGCACGGGTGCCAGAGGCGGCACTCAGAGCCCTCTCGGTGGGCACGCGTGCTGTCGCCCCGGTCCTAGGCCTTCAGCTGGGTTTTATAAAACCTTTTCGCTTTAGGCCTCCGCCGCCATGAACAAAAAAAAAAAAGGTTCAATCAATCAGTCAGTTTCAACTTCTCGCGGGGAAAAAAAAGATCTCGCAAAGTTGGAATTGATTGATTGAACTTTTTAGTCCCATCCAGTCTACCGTTACTACCACAGCAGTGCCCACCCAATGGGCCACGCCCACCCAATGGGCCGCACCCACCCAGCACCCAACAATGCATAAGTGGGTTTTGGGTTGCAGTTTGGGCACTCGGTCTCTAAAAGGTTCGCCATCACTGATTTAGACGCTTGGCAACAGGCTCATATTTGTGATGGTTGCAGCGTCCTGGGGACACGTGATCCCCTTTTGCGACTTTTTAAAAAAAATATATTTTATTGATTTTTTTTTTTACAATAACAATCTTTAGTGCTTAGTAAACAGCGTGTTGTCTGGGTTCATATATTTAAAAAACAATCAATTAATTTCTTGTTAGTGGCGAAGTCGTGTCCGACCCCTTGCGACCCCATGGACAATGTTCCTCCAGGCCTTCCTGTCTTCTACCATCTTCTGGAGTCAATTTAAGCTCACGCCTACTGCTTCAGTGACTCCATCCAGCCACCTCCTTCTCTGTCGTCCCCTTCTTCTCTTGCCCTCAATCTTTCCCAGCATCAGGCTCTTCTCCAGTGAGTCCTTCCTTCTCATTAGGTGGCCAGAGTACTTGAGTTTCAACTTCAGGATCTGGCCTTCTAGAGAGCAGTCGGGGTTGATCTCCTCTAGGACTGACCAATTGGATCTTCTTCAGCACCATAGTTCAAAGGCCTCAATTCTTTGGCATTCAGCCTTTCTTATGGTCCAGCTTTCAAAGCCATGCATTGCAACTGGGAAAACCACAGCCTTGACTATACCTACTTTTGTTGGCAGGGTGATGTCTCTGCTTTTTAGTATGCTGTCTAATTAATTTCTATAATTCCATAATCAATGTATTAATGATATATTTCCTTGATCTTCTTCCAGTAGTATTCTCCTTTTGTCAACATTAAATAATAGTTCTTAATACTTTCAGTACATACAAGGTTAGATATAAACATTTTTCTTGTGTTTGTACAAATAATAGTAGCATCAGCATATATCTTTTCTGATTGGCTTATGTTTCAATTGTATTTGAAAAAGTCACCATTAAGTCACTATCCTGTTTTCAAGATTCTTATTTAAGTTTATTTTCCCTTCTGATTATTCTTATCAGTCATAATTTTTTCACAATTTAAATATCCAAACTTTTCATTCATTTCTACCATCCCAATATTTTTACATTTCATATAATAATAATTAATAATAATAAAGTTGGAAGGGACCTTGGAGGTCATCTGGTCCAACCCCCTGCTCAGGCAGGAAACCCTATACCATTTCAGACAAATGGCCGTCCAGTCTCTTCTTAAAAATTTCTAGTGTTGGAGCATTGAGAGCTTCTGGAGGCAGGTTGTTCCACAGGTTAAAAAATACTGTACTACTTGTATATCTTATCCCTCTTATTGTAGGGCTCCTTTATATCCATAATTTATCTATTCTTTTAACCATATTCAAAAAGTGCTTAATCATATAGTACTCGATCTGGTAAGTCGCATTAAATCTCTTGAATGTAACTCTAGCCTTCTTCTTTTGCCAAGTAGCTTTCCAAGTCAGTGTGTTCAGCTTGCCAGGGGATTTTTCCTGTATTTTTATAAATGTTGCTGGGAATTGGAAAGACAAATTAAGTAGGATGTGCGTTTTTTTGTCTCCCAAACTCTAATGATTCTCCTGGCTGCTCTATAATCCATTTTGTTAGATCTTCTTTCTTATCTTCAAGTTTGTTTTGAAGCCCTGCAAAATAAAATATCTTTTCCATTTCCATTGTTGTAGCAAAATCTTGTAAGTTTTCTTTCTCTTCTTAAAAAACCTGTTGCATAAAGTTCAGAAGCCTGCTAAGATACTATGAGATACGATGATGCTTTTTTTTTTTAAACTTGGAAATTGGTTTTGGTTTCTTGCTAAGTGTAATAAGGTGCTGACAGATCTTTTATGAAAGGGTTGCACTATTCTACACTTTTAAAAATTGAAAACATTTTGTGGATATTTCTGTGGGGGAAAAAGAACACGGAATGGAAATGTTTTCACAGGAACACATAGGATTAGAAAACCATCAAATCCGAGTGCCCCTTTGTAGAATAATAATTTATTAAATTTATACGCTGCCTGACTCCCAGCACCTAAAACGGCTCAAGAGTTTCTGAGCTGGCCTCAACCTGTCCCAATGATTGGATTTGATCTGGAGAATGAGAATGGAGTTTATGGCGCAAGAAGGAATACGGTTTGAGTGACATCTTGAAAATCTGCAGCGGAGGAGGTGTGCTGTGTTAACAAAGTGTTTGCGTGGGGACTCGCCTTCCAGTCAGTGTTGACTCTGCTTGGATAAGTCTCTGCCCTTTTTTTTTTTTTTTGCAAAATTTCAGAAGTGCCTCCTTACTAGGGCTGAGAGTGACTGGTCCAAGATCACCCACCTGGCTTTTTGTCCAGGTCAGGACTAGAACTTATGATCTTCTAATTTCCAGCCTGTTGTTTTAACTACTAAACTAAATTGACTGTCGATATAGCAGAGTGGTGGTGAACCTATGGCACGAGTGCCAGAGGCGGCACTCTGTGGGCACACATGCCGTCACCCCAGCCCCGCCTCCCCCCCGCAGCTCCCTCCTCATCAGCAGCCCCTCCCCGGAGGAGAGTCACCCCCAGGTGTGGCCCGGGCAGAGCAGCACAGCCAAATACATGGCAGCTGGGCAGCAGATGGAGGGCGTGACCCTCCTAACAATTACCAGAGCACTCCGAATTTCTTGGCGATGTCCATTTTGCTCTATGGGTTTATGGTGACCTAACCCTAACCCTTAATGGAATTTTCCTCCAATGGGATTTTCCCATGTATTTTGCCAGGAAACACGGAAAAGGCAGCCTAGAAAAGTCAGTACCCTCCTAACCATTCCCAAGCACTCAGAGTTTGTTGGCGATGTCCATTTTGATCTATGAGTTCATCATAACCTAACCCTAACCCTAAGTGGAATTTTCCTCCAATGGGATTTTCCCATGTCTTTTACTGGGAAACATAGGGCAGCCTAGAAAAGACAGTATCCTCCTAACCATAACCAAGCACTTTGAGTTTGTTGGCGATGTCCATTTTGATCTATGAGTTCATCGTAACCTAACCCTAACTGGAATTTTCCTCCAATGGGATTTTCCCATGTCTTTTACCAGGAAACATGGAAAAGGCAGCCTAGGAAAGTCAGTACCCTCCTAACCATTCCCAAACACTCAGAGTTTGTTGGCAATGTCCATTTTGATCTATGAGTTCATCGCAACCTAACCCTAAGTGGAATTTGCTCCAATGGGATTTTCCCAAGTCTTTTACCAGGAAACATGGAAAGGTCAGCCTGGAAATGTCAGTGCCCTCCTAACCATACCCAAGCACTCCGCGTTTGTTGGCGATGTCCATTTTGCTCTATGGGTTCATGGTGACCTAACCCTAACCCTAAGTGGAATTTTCCTCCAATGGGATTTTCCCATGTATTTTACCAGGAAACATAGATAGGGCAGCCTATAAAACACAGTCCCCTCCTAACCATAACTAAGCACTCTGAGTTTGTTGGCGGTGTCCATTTTGCTCTATGAGTTCATCGTAACCTAACCCTAACCCTAAGTGGAATTTTCCTCCAATGGGATTTTCCCATGTATTTTACCGGGAAACATAGATAAGGCAGCCTAGAAAAGACAGTATGCTCCTAACCATAACCAAGCACTTTGAGTTTGTTGGCGATGTCCATTTTGCTCTATGGGTTCATGGTGCCACCATGGCGCTGCGGGGCCACCTGGGCGATCTGCAGCGGGCCGCGGATGGCCCTGAGAGCAGGCAGGGTGAGGATGGAGCAGGGCGGGTGAAGCGGGGGCAGCCTGGGGGCGGGGGGGTTTTGGGCACTTGGTCTCTAAAAGGTTCGCCATTACTGATATAGCATTAATGTGTTCATAAAAGAAAAACTAACACAGCCAGTGTGCCCTGTTGAGAACAAAGCCTCAAAATCTTCCGTTTCCCTGGAGCAAAACCCCAGGGAGGTTTCCATAGAACTAGCTGTTCCACAAGAACAGATACCACGTCGGCGGGACAGGGAAGGAAACAGCCCCAAAGTGAGCAGGTGGTGGTGTGGAATTTCTCTTTTCAATCCCAAAGATTATGGCCATTAAATGCTATCTATAGATAACTTTCTAGTGGAATAATGTGACTCAGTGTTTTTTAAACACTGGGGGAAACAATTCGGACATTCTTTTGTAGGAATGTCTGAGCTACCAGCCAAAAATAATTTACTAGGTGAAGAGTAAGAAGATGGTATGCTACAAGCCAACTTGATAGTTTTGGGTTTTTAGGGCTTGTTTTCTTTAGAAAGGTCTATAGGGAACGTAGTTCTAAATCAACAGACGTACCCTCTATAACAGGGCTTTTCAACCAGTGGTATGGGTACCCCCTGTGGTACATTGGCACCTGGCAGGTGGTATGCGACCATCCTAGAAAAGTGGTAGCGGGGGAGGGGAATGTGCTGAACCGGTGGCAGCACCGCAGAAGCCTGAGCGAGAGACGGCTGAAGCTGCAGGGCGGTCAGGGCTCAGCGGAAGCGCCAGGATCAGCGCCAGGCTCCAGCTGGAGCTCGGCGCTGATCCTGGTGCTTCTGCTGAGCCCTGAAGAATAA